ATATATATAATTTAGAAATATTTAAATAACAGTAATAAAGACATGTATCACGTTAATTCTCGATTAGATAAAAGTTAATCAGTAATTAGTTTTCCATATAATAACAATATGGTTTTTTATACAAAAATTGCCGTATTGCTGCGTCGTTTAAAATACTATTTTTATACAAATATTATGATTTGTTAATTTATGAAATCTATTTTTTAAATTGTATTTAATCAAATTTCAAAGCAATTTCACAACTATATTAAAATTGTTGATTTAGTAACTATATAATTTTTCAAAGTTTCGTAACATTATTCAGATTTAATACTTAATTGACTTGTACTTGCACATGTAATTTTATACAGTAATTATCTCAATATTGAGTAATAACCGCAAGCTATCAATAATCCATTCGGAAAACGAGCAATCGCCCGAGCGGAAACTATTACTAGCTGTTACCTCGCGAAAATGAAGCTTGTTAAAAATAATTGCGCAATCAATATAGATACATTACGTATGAGCTTCTTCTTCTTAAAAAATAAAAAAGTAAATTAAACATAAACTTTAATTTACATTGTCTTTCTCTCTCAAGTGTTTTTTTTTCAAGTTTTTTTTTATTCTTATTCCTATTCTTCTTAAATTAAGTCGTATCATAGCCATTCACTTTTCTTCTAATATTTAGTGCATTATCACTCACAAAAATATGAATGTAAATATATAATTTTTAATATACTTGAGAATTCTCAATGTATTGAGCTCGGGTCCGTGGGTTCGCTAAACCCAAATGACTGTGCGGATCAGCCATCCCTGCGGGATACGCGCGAGTTTCTCGTGTTACGTATCCTTCTCGTGCATCCTATTCGATTAAAATGCAAGTCACCTAACGTCGCACTAAAAACCAGCCGTCAAAAGCAGACGTGATCATAAATTTTATCACGTGCACATCTACATCTCGCGCGCATGATCTTCGATCCGGTCGATGCGGTCTACAATGCAACGTACAATCGTTACGTTGCATTTACGCTCGGTTCTTTGTCGGGATTAGAAAGAACATCCTGGCTCCTGGCACCAGTATTATATGCAGTAAATAATGCAGATATGTACGTGGCAATAAAATGAAAAAAAAATATCATGAAAAAATAAATATCATTCAATTAATATACAAATAAAATAACCTTTATTATCTCTCTCAAGTAATCTCCCTTAGAGACAATACATCTGACAACGTTTGTACAGCTTGCGGAAATTCCGTGAAAAATCATCATCCTTGGATATCGCCGAAGTCTTATTGACACACAGTTCTGATTCAAAACGTGTATGACAGTTCTTGAATCAAACAAAGCGTTGCATTATCACTTCGAATCACTTTTCCTACTCTCTCGATCTTGCTCTCACAGACTTCTTTTTATTCTCTAAATTAAAGGAGGTGAAGGAACTCGATTTACATTTCGGACATTTAGAACTGTGTGACAACAACACTTAAAACGATATCCAAAGATAGCTTTTCATATTAGAGTTTCTGGGGATGTCTCTAGGGAGTATTACATTAAAAGATAATAAAGGTCATTTATACATTAATTTAGTGGTGTTTATTTTCTCATGACATTCACCAAACTTTATTGTCACATCACGTATATAGTGAAGCCATCATTTCATTAACTGCTGGCCAGTGTCGCAACTTCCGCAAAAAGTTTCATTGATCGCAAATTTTATGAACACACAGAGTGTGTACAAAGCGAACAGATTAATGTAATCCTCGGTGGCATCGGGCGGTACGGTGAAAGGAAAAGGTTACGGGAGCGAATACTCGATAACGATCAAGATATCTTCGGCAAACACCGCGCTAGAAACGATGGAACCGTAAATGCCAGCCGCTTTCGTATTCCGAGAGGCGGTAACAGCGTGACATGTGATTTGCGCATGCAACGTTAACTCAGCCGTTGTGAAAGATTTGCACTTTTCGACAAGTGCTTTACTTGCAAATATAATAAATTTTGTAACGCACATGAATTATTCATAATTTCGATAATTTACGATTTATTGCTTTTTGCAAGTAAAACGTTCTTCCTATTTTATGCAATTTATGAAAATTAAACGACGAATTTAAAGCTTTACGCGGAAATTCGATTTTTCTGAAGTATTTACAAATTTAATTAGATACTGATCTAAAAATAAAATGTTAGTAATCTCAAGCATAATAAACAATGTTATAAAAAAATATTTTAATATTTTTTACTAGCAATCAGTTTAAGCCTCCTGCATAATAATTTTAATGGTCCAACAATTATTTTTAGATCCGAGCAGAATATCTCCCCGCTAACGTAAACCATTTACAGTACGAGAAGCGCCTTAAAATTCCTAATATTTTTTTATAATAAGAATTCTACATAATAATGCGCAGTAGAAACGTGAGCTGGCAATTTCACGACTACTTTTTCTCCTATTTTTATCCAAGATGTATATACAAAGCGTGCATTTCTTGAATAGCAAGTTCATGAATCCGTTCCGCAACTATGCCACGTGTTTTGCTAATAAATCATCGTTACGCTCGTATATTCGAGAATTATCAATGCAGAGCCACTTGGTACATGTGACACTTCGAAAGTATTATCATCTTTGCTCCCTCGACATGACAAAAATTTTAAATCAAAAAGAACTATGCAAAGAGCGGGGCGTGCCTGTAAGTTTACGGCGAGAAGAAAAACTTACGCCTGCAAATGCGAGTATAAACGAGCTTAATAAACTTCACGAAACCTCTAGCAGGAAGTGAGCGGAAGTAAATCGCCATCGCGTTGACAGCATTAAAGATTTATAACTTGCTCGCGCGTGCAAGGAAGAATCATAATGTGCTTGCAAGCTTGCAGTCAAATATGCTTGCTCACCATCGCTCGCAAACATACATTCTGATAAATTTTCGAGTATGATATTGCAGGAATGGTTTCACACACAATTCCACAGTACAGTTAATAAGA